CTATCCACTCCCTCTGGTAAGCAGCATTCAATTCCCCCTTGAACCACCTCTGCTCTGTTGGTTGCTGTTAAGGTCGACTGTGCTCAGGTTCAAGGGAGGAACCTGATTAGCCATAGGCAAGTCTTGTACCCTATCACCTGAACCACATGATTGGTTCAGTGACAGATTTATGAGCAATTGTGGCCATTGAGTGCCATGCTCAGGATGTTTCTTCAACTGTTAGGAGGGCGAAAAGATACTCTCTGTCCCACTGGATCAGAATCTGAAAGGATACGAGCTTTGGAAGTGCCACAGCTGTCCTGCAACCTCATGAAGAATCACTCCTCATCAACATCATCTCCTCCTGACAAGCCACGCCCCCAGCTAGATGCACCCTGGCCTTTGAATCTCATGAGTCAATCCCTCCCTTCAAATTGGATTTTCTGCCTCTTGGCATCATAACTAATAAAAACTCCAGCTACGACCCTTCACCTAGTGTGGTCAACAGTTGATCAAGACCAAGGCAAAGGCTGTCGAATGCCCCCAGGGGACTACGGATAACCCACTAGAGTACTGGAAAAACTTTTTTTTTAAGTTATCAGCTACCTGGCATCTTTTCTACCCCACTTTCTTTGGCTTCATCTTTTGGCAAAACCAGAGGCAATTATTGGTTGCATGAGCCTGAGCAAGTTAAATAGGTTGCTTCACGTGAACTCCCTAAGCCTAAACGTTCTTATTAGCAAACAACTAACTTTTACTGAGCACCTACTATGTACCAGGCACTATAGTATCCTGCTCAATACAGCAGTTCTAGAGTGCCCTTACTATTGTTATCCTCCTTTTAAAGATGGGGAACCATGTCCTTCCAGGGGTTAGGCCATCCCCACAGGGTCACATAACAAGGAAGTGGTCAACACAGCATTCAGACCCAGGATGAGCACACTCATCCTCAAAAATTATGCTGCATATGGGGCACCTGGGTGGCTCAGTTGGTTAAGCGTCCGACTTTGGCTCAGGTCATGATCTCACGGTCCGCGGGTTCAAGCCCTGAGTCGGGCTCTGCGCTGACAGCTCAGACCCGGGAGCCTGTTCCAGGTTCTGTGTCTCCCTCTCTCTGCCCCTCCCCTGCTCGTGCTCACGCATGCGCGCTCTCTCTCTCAAAATAATAAATAAACATTAAGAAATCTTTTTAAAAAGTTATGCTGCATGGCTCACAAAGTCATGGTAAAGCTTCATAAAGAAGTACACGCAAATGTTTAGCTTCGCCCTGCGTGCATCACAGAGAATATCCAATAAATGGTAACTATTACTGTCGTTGTTGTTGTTGTAACTGTTGGAGTCTGGTGGCCCTGACTGTCCTCACACACAAATGCTATTTTGTATTGTCATGTGCAGCACAACGGGCAGGCAATGTCGATCAAGCCGGTCTTGCTGAGCCCTCTGGCTCATTCCCATTCTAATGGGCTGCTCTTTCAACTCCAGAAGCCCAGAAGTGAAATCAAGTGGATGCATTTGCAGACAGGGTGTGCTCCCAATAGCGACACAGGGAGAGTCATTTCGGCCCAGTGAGCACACAAAGCCAGGCAGCCTTCCAATCCAGCCCAACCTGGGGCAATGTAAGTGAACTCAGGCGAGGCAGGAAAAGGATGGGCTAACTGGATTCTGGCAGATCAGGAAGGAGAAATGTTCCCTCTCAAACTAGGCCACGGGATCCCATGCCGAATCCATTTAGAAAGCCTACATGATGTTTCTCTCAACATTCTAACAGTATTGTCCATTTTCCCAATTAGTCATTATTACAAAGTGATTTTCTGAGTATACGTCTCTGGCCGTGGTTTAGAGAGATTAGCAACAAACACCGCACTTAACCATGACCAGAAGTTTAACATGAAAAGGTTTATTCTCTCTTTTAGTTTGAGTAAGAAGCTAAAAATCATGCAACTATAAAGTGTAGAATAGACTGCTCTAAATGTTATGGTATTTCAAGTACATATATCTTAGGATTAAGTATAAAGAGTAACGGTTAATTACTGAGGATTTGTGGACAGGGAAACAGCTGCTTCCACAGTCACTCTGCCTAATCAAGGAGGGGAGAAAAGAGAACCCACAGCAAAGAAAAAGTGTAACGACTTTGTCTCTCAGAGCAGCGTCATTTTCGGGCCACAGCATGTAAACAAACAAAGACTGCAAAGAAAAGGAAATGTAAACTGGTATTTTTAAAAGTGTCCGGAACTCTCGCCGAAAGCTTCCGGTGGACATCTCTAGGTCTCCAGGATAAGTGGATGGTTTTTACTGGATCGGCCCTTAGGCAGGGTTTTTCTCCTGGAGCTGCGGAGGCAGGGGTCAGGGTGAGCCCGCACGCAGGCTGTCCTGGAATGAAATCTCTCTGGGATCAAAACTATAGTCTTTACCAGCAAGAGTTAGTTTCCCACCTGTAGAATTGAGAGAAGTGGAGAAGAGGCAGAGGAGAATATTCTAGTCTGTAAGAAATAATCTTGTCATCACCTTGCCTTAAACCTTTCCATTTGCTCTGGCTCCGTGTGCGTGACAGACGAATAACATAGGAACGTGAATGTAAAGAACTTACCTCCCCAGCTTCCAGCCCGCCAGTGGCCTCCCTTCATACACGGAAATACGTCAAAACCTTTCCAAGAGCGTATATGCCCTGCATGCTCTAGGCCTTGCAGTGCTTTGCAGAAACAACCTTGAACACTTCCTCACCATCGCCCCCTTGCCCACCCACCTCCCTCTCAACACTCTCCCCCCCACCCAGAGTTGAACTGCTGCTATTCTCAACGTGGGTCACGCTTGATTACAGCTTCAGGCCTTCGCCTGAATTCCCTCTGCCCACAAGACTCACTTCCAAATCGGGGTGCAGCGACGTGAAGGGAAACAGTAGTAAAACTTTGTGCTTGTGTGTGGGTGTCCGGAATAAGTCAGAAAACAGGCTTTACTAAAATATAACAATGTAATGTATGGATTGATCGTAGAGCCCATGAATAATTAAGTATAAAGATATCAGGAGTTATTTTTTTTCTAATTGAATGAATTACGTGGTCAAAAACGTTTGAAGCCTGGGAGGCTAAGACACGCTCTGTGTCTTACAATCCCATCTCAACCCAACTGCGCCTGGAGAAGCCCTCTCTAGGACACCCTTCCTCCAAGCCATCCTTGACGTTCCAAAGCAGGACTGGAGGTATCTCCGAGGGGGCTGGCTCCTCCCATTCCTGTCTCTCACATTCCTCTCTCCTCACAGCGGCTAGTGACAGCTTAATCATTTCACCTCCTACACAGATCCTTCCACTGCTTCTCAACCCACTCCTCACGGTGGACTCTAAATTCGACAAGATTTGGCCCCATGTAGATCCTCAGTCTCATACAACTGGTCCCTCTGTCCTCTGGGCTCTGGCCCCACTGTCCTTAAGGATTTGTTCTGTGACCACAGGAAGCCCATTTTGGTCCGAGGCTCTTTGCCTACTTCTTTCTTCTACCCAGAGGGCTTTTCCCAATTCCAAATCTTTGAACATGGCCGGGTCCTTCTGGTCACAAGGGCTCAGCTTTCCCTGACCACTCAATCTAAAGCAGACACCCACTCACTGTAGCTCTGTACTGTCCAATATGGCAGCCATCAGCCATGTGCTGTTTTCGAGCACTTGAGATATGGCTAGACCAAGTGAAACGTGCTGTAATGACTAAAATTTCAGATTTTGAAGACTTAGTAGAAAAAAGAAAGTAAAAATGTCTCATTAATAATTTTTTATGCTTTTATATGCTTTTTAAAAAAAATTTTTAATGTTTGTTTGATTTATTTATTTATTGTTTTATTTATTTTTGAGATAGAGACAGACGTGAGCAGGGGAGGGACAGAGAGAGAGCGAGACACAGAATCCGAAGCAGGCTCCAGGCTCTGAGCTGTTAGCACAGAGTCCGATGCGGGGCTTGAACTCACAAACCGCGAGATCATGACCTGAGCCGAAGTCAGACGCTGAACCAACTGAGCCACCCAGGCGCCCCTATGCTTTTACATGTTAAACTGATAGTTTTGGATATATCAGACTAAATAAAATATATTATTAAAGTAAATTTCACCTGCTGCATTTTTTTAAATGTGCCATCTAGAAAATTTTAAATTGCATACACACAGCTCACACTATCTTCCTGTTGGACAGCGTAGCTCTAGAATATGTTTAATTTTTCACGTAATTCTTAGCTTCACCTACCGGTCTCATTTATTTACCATGTGTTCCCCACCCCTGCGCCCTAGGATCTCCCTGAAGGTATAGTGTCTTGCTCACACTATACACATCCATGCCATCCAAGTTCCTGGCACACAGCAGACCCTCAAGAACGATTTTCAAAACAAATGAGTGATTTTACAGCATCGTTTACACCAAGCTACTTTTACTGGGCACTTAGATGCATTATAAAAAGAAGGTGGATTATCTCTACTTTACAGATGAGGCAGCGATATAAAAAGACTAAGTATGCTGCAAATTACTAATTTCACAGAAATCACGATTTGGACCCAGGCAGGGTCAGTGATACCCCCAAAGCAGCACTGCCCCACACAGTGATCTCATATATAATTTCTGAGTATTTATGTGTCTTCCCAGCAGCACAACGAGGACAGGGACAGGAACTCATCCACTGTTGTTTACTGCTGACACAGAGTATAAACACACACACACACACACACACACACAGAGTTCTCAGTAATAACATCAGTCAGGGCAATAGTAACAGTGAACATTTACTAAGTGGCAGGCATTGTTCTAAGCGTTCCCACCTGGAGGCCTAACAGTCCTCTCAAAATTAACATGCTCGATGCTGAATTCTTAATCTTTGCTCCCAAACCCGCTGTAGCTCCCGTTTCCCCACATTTCAGTTAAGAATAATCTTATTCTTCCAGTTGGCCAAGTCAAAGTATTGAAGTCACCCCTGAATTTTCTTCTTTCTTTCCCAGGGCATTTGGAGCCTGTTCGCAAATCCTCCTGCTCTTACATTTACAACATATCCAGAACCTGACTACTCCCCACCACGCCCACGCCCACGTCCACAGCTATAACCACGGTCCCAGCTGCCCGGAGCACAGGAATCGCTGCCACATGAACTCCCAGCCCTTGCCTGTGGCGTCTGCAGGGGCCAGAGTGATGCTTTTGAAACGTAATCCAAAGCACACGCCATTCCCCAGGGCATTCCCCAGACCGTTCAATGTCTTCCCTCTTGCCGAGAACAAAATGCAACGTCCTTGCCCGTGGCCAAGGAAATCCTACGCCCACTGATGGCATCTTCTCCTCTCCCACTGCTCGCACCACTTCGGGTACACTGGCCTCCCTGCGGGCCCTCGAACACCCCTCCCTGGTGTCCACACACCTCCATTCCCCTCCCTCAAGTCTAAATTCGGAAGTCACGAAACAACGTATACATCCCCCCCCTTTTTTTTTTAATTTTTATTTTAACTCCAGTTAGTTAACATAGTGTTCTATTAGTTGCAGGTGTACGATCCAGTGATTCAACAATTCCTGACACTACTCAGTGCTCGGCGCGAGAAGGGTCCTTCTTCCCCATCCGTCTTCCCTCTGGTAACCATCAGTGTGCTCTCTCTCGTTAAAGGTCTGATTGTTGGTTTGTCTCTTTTCTTCCCCCTTTGTTCATTTGTTCTGTTTCTTAAATTCCACATGTGAATGAAATCACATGTTATTTTTCTCTCTCTGACTTACTTTGCTTAGCATTACACTCTCTAGCTCCGTGTTGTCGCAAATGGCAAGATTTCATTCTTTTTATGGCAGAAGAATATTCCATTGTGTGTATATTCCATTCCAATCATATTCCAATAATAGTCCATCATATATATGTGTATATACACACATACGAATATGCCACCTCTGCTTTATCCATTCATCAATCAATGGACACCCGGGCTGCTTCCATAATTTGGCTCTTGTAAATAATGCTGCTATAAACATACGGGTCCATGTCTCTATTTGAATTAGGGTTTCTTGTATTCTTTGGGTAAATACCCAGTACTGAAATTGCTAGGGCATAGGGTAGTTCTGTTTTAAACTTTTTGGGGAGCCCCCATACTGTTTTCATAGTGGCTGCACCAGTTTGCATTTGCATCAACAGTGCACGAGGGCTCCTTTGTCGTCACATCCTCACCAACACCTGTGGATACCTGCGTTGTTGATATTAGCCATTCTAATATCGGGTGTGAGGTGATATCTCCCTGTAGTTTTGATTTGCATTTCCGTGACAGGAACGGATGATGGACATCTTTTCATTTGTCTGTTGGCCATTTGCGTCTCTTCTTTGGAGAAATGTCTGTTCATGTCTTCTGCCCATTTTTAATTGGATTATTTGTTTTTGGGGGGTTGAGTTTTATAAGCTCTTTATATATTTTGGATACTAACCTTTTACTGACGTGTCATTTGCAAATAATCTTCTCCCATTCAGTAGGCTGTCTTTTACTTTTGTTGTAGGTTTCCTTCACTTTGCAGAAGCTTTTCATTTTGATATAGTCCCAACAGTTTATTTTTACTTTGGTTTCCCTAAAACACTGTATGTAGTCTTATGTTAAGAGCCAAACCATGTACTGAGGACTGTAGGTGTGACTTTGTTTTATTTCTTACACCTTGGGATTCTCAGCCTATCCCTATAACCAGTGAATGGATGGACGACTGCAAAGCAAACAGAATGTCAGCTTCATCTGTGTCATGCTGGCAGATTTCTAGTCTGAAAAACTGGTCTTTGTCCCACCAGACATTGCTGACGATGGTGTAAATTGGTGTGGCCCTTAGGGAAGCTAATTCTTAATGTGTATCAAGGGTCATAAAATTATACAAACTTTTTAGCTTCCTAATCACCTCCATTGCAAGGGAACAATCCAAAACATGGTCCAAGTTATTATAAGCCTGAGTGTTATTTGAATTAGAGACAATTTGACTGTTTTAACTAGTGAGTAATCATGTACCTACTCAATGGAGTATCATAGGCTTCAAAATTATAGTTTTAAAGATTGTGTAACTGTTTGGAAAAATATTTACACTATAACACAATCCATTTTAGAATATACATAGGATATGACATGTAAATATCTAATAGTTGCGAGGCTGTGAAATTTTAGATGGGTGGGGGGAAATGCTAAGTATATGTACTAAAATAATAATTTTATATTGGGGTATTAGGTTCATATTATTTTATTACAAGGGAAAATATTGGAAACCCAGGAAAACAATAATGATAAAAAGAGGGAAAAACCATTTATTGACAATGATGTGGTCTTTCTTATTTTCTTTGTGTCCAGTGTTCAAATTTAGTTAACTATATTGAATGAGATGATCTTGGTCACTAAAATTCTTCCCAAGATTCTGCTTATGGAACCTAGTCTATCCCAGTGTTCTATTTTCTTAAAGGAATAAATAAACTCACAAAGAATGCTCAAACACCCCAGCTGTACTGTCTCTCCATTGTTTCTCAAGCCAGTTGTATGACATTCACTTTGTCATACAACTTTGGCTTTTATTCACATCCAGTTTTTAGTTCTTTTCCTCACTAGCAACTTTGCAAGTTTCTTATATTTAATTTTTTTATTACGTTTCTTTATTTTTGAGAGGCAGAGAGAGACAGAGCATGAGAGGGGGAGGGGCAGAGAGAGAGAGGGAGACACAGAATCCGAAGCAGGCTCCAGGCTCTGAGCTGTCAGCACAGAGGCCAACACAGGGCTTGAACCCATGAACTGTGAGATCATGACCTGAGCCAAAGTCGGACACTCAACCGACTGAGCTACCCAGGTGCCCCAAGTTTCTTCTTATTTTTAGAGAATCAGGTAAATAAAATAGGTCAAGAAAATATTTTCAAAAGGCAGTCCTACAGTAGTATTTCAAGGTAGTCAGCTTAGTCCTATTACAGATACTAAAATGACAAGGACAGGACAAAGACACCGCATTAGTGTAATAGAGATTAAGCAGAGAAAGGCATGGGTCTGAAATTCTTGCTCCTTTGGTTCCTAGACTGAATAACCTGGAGTAGGATGATTATAGTATGATTCTCTGTAAGCCCAAGTCCTTCACCTGTAAACTGAGGACAATGTAAGGTGTTGAGACTGTATTCAAACCTCAAGGGGGCACGATCCTTTCCCTCTCTGCTTTATGGGACAGTCTTAAACAAAATATGTTGACTACACAATTTATATAGATCATTAGGACCATGGCTCTAAAATAGTTAATGTAATTTTGCTTCATAAGAACAAACCCCAACACTTGCAAAGTAACACAGAAAACTGGAAGTGAACAAACTATCAAAGCAAACTGTAATTCCACATCAGTTTGATTTGAAAATCTGACCCAACCTCCTTTTCCCATTTTCTCTTACTCCCAAAGCTGCCATATTGAAATATCGCAGCAGAAGAACCCAGATCCCATCTTTCTTTCTTGACAAACTGGAGTTGCTATTGTTCCCCTGATAATATGATAAGTAAAAAGACAATTTAATCTTCTAATTTACGACAGCGAGCGAGATGTTGCTGAAACCCTGAGCTATCAATGCTGTTAATTAAAACAACATTAATAATGATCACTAAAGGAAAATATTATTTAATTCTAACTCGGAAGATGTCTTCTAATGTTTCTGATAAAGCCATAATAATTCTGCTAAGGTGCAGGCAGTACTGCGGCCTAGCTAGCTCTCCTCCAAAGGAAAACACACAGCGAACATGACAAATGAATGGCTTTACATAGGGACAAACGTGATCCACTGCGGCCCAAAGTCCCAACCACTACATAAGCGGAAAGCTCAGCGCCATTACCACATGAGGTCTCTTAGGACAACACCATATGTAAGTATAAGCCCTTATATAGAGAATGGATATTCAGTGTATTTTTAAATAAAATGAATTCAGTAAAAATCTCATCTCCCAACCAATGTTCTTTGGCTCTGGCCAATTAGGGTCCTAATATGTGTTTTTGTTATACTATAAAAGATATGAATGTGCATTATGAAAATACATAAACAGGAGCACCTGGGTGGCTCAGTCGATTAAGGGTCTGACTTCAGCTCAGGTCATGAGCTCATGGTTTGTGAGTTCGAGCCCCGTGTCAGGCTCTGTGCTGGCAGCTCAGAGCTTGGAGCCTGCTAAGGATTCTGTGTCTCCCTCACTCTCTGTCCCTCCCCCTCTCATACTCACTTGCTCTCTGTCTCTCTCTCTCTCTCTCTGCCTCAAAAATAAACAAACATTAAAAAAGAATTTTTTAAAATAAAAATACATAAACAAACAGATAAATAGATAAAGAAATTGAAAAGCATACAAGTAAAAAGCAATGACCACCCACCCCACCTATCTTCCACCGGCCCCACTTCTTAGAGGAAAGCACATTTACTTTATAAAAGTTACTACCGGAAACCATTCCTTTCTTCATTGTTCTGTGCCCAGACAGAAATATATTATGTGCACACATATGCACCGAAATGCCTCTTTTCCCTGCCATTTGTTTTTTTCTCATATGCCACAATATATCAGGACGATTTTCCAGGAGATATAACAACGAAGTAGAATAGAGCAAAATTTGAAGGCTTCAAATTTTCAGTTGGCGATTTTTCACCTTACAACTGATTATACTACCTTTCAACTGTCCATTCCTCCCTTTGAAAGATGCCCTTTCCCAACACCTTAATTACACAATCTTACATCCTAATCATAAGAGCTTGGAAATAGATATTCAAAGGGTGAAATACCAGCGTGTTCTTCAAAGGCAAGACTACTAAATTTGACATTTGAAGTGGACCGAAAGTTTAGCCTTGTTGCTTCCACAAAGCAGTCTCTGCACATTTCCGGGGCATGGTGTTCACTTCTGACTCATTAAGGACCCACGATGTTCCTGACAGAATGTTTGGCTTACAAATCCACATGAACAATCAGCCAGGCTCTCCAACTTCAGAATCTGCTTTTCAAAGTAATCTACAAGCCACAAAATACACTTCACCGATTATTTTATGTAATTTTCACACACCCGTATGAGACAGGAACTGTAATTACTGACACCATTTAACTGAGAAAACAAATTAAGAGAGATTAAGTAACCTGTCCAAAATTAAAGTCAGTCAGTGGCCTAGAAAGATCTGTCTGCCACCCATCACCGAGGTTCATGATCTTAGCCCCCCAGGTCGTAGACTTCACAGCTTGATTCCTGAGGGGCCAGAGCTCTGGCAAAGTCATTAAATCTTTTTGGCCTCAGTTTCCCCATCTTTAAATATAGGGATCAGACAAATCAATATGAAATCTTTTTTACTTTGGGGCGCCTGGGTGGCTCAGTCGGTTGGGCATCTGACTTCGGCTCAGGTCAAGATCTCACAGTTCGTGGGTTTGAGCCCCATGTCCGGCTGTG